TGGTAGCAGAAACTAAATTTATATAAATCTCTAGCAGTTTGTTCATCTGAAAAGTAAAATATACCACAATAATAGTATAGAATTTTCATATTTCTAATATCAATTTCTAAAGAAAAATTATTTGTAAAGTATAAAGCTTTATGATAATAGTTAGATGATAAAATAAAATCTTTCTTTTTTGCTAAGTATCTTCTATATTTAGCTTTAGTTTCTTGTATTTTAATTAATTTTGCATTAGGTTCTTTTTTCTGCATTGCTGACAAAAAGTTTGTATAGCTTTTATTTTTTTTAATTTTTTTTTTGAGACTGAATTAAACATATCATAATTATCTCTATCAAATTTTTATAAATATTTACACAACAATAATCTTATTGAATATATAGAATCATATTTCTAGTAGTATTTTGAAACAATTTTTTTTAAAACAGTTTATATTATTTTATATACTTCATATAAATTTAATTATAAGCAATTTGTTTTATTTGTAGAATTTAATTGCTTCATTCTAAGGAATTCTATATTTGTAATAAGTTATGTTGATATATCATGATATGTATAGATATTTATGTAACTTTATTTCTTTGAGTAAGTGAAGATTTATAGTGTAGTAGCAAGATTAATATTGTCCTTACTTTTAATATCTAAGTATAAAGTTGTGAAAAAAGTTTATTTAACTAAAGAATTTTTGCAAACTACATACATTAACTTAATTTATATAGATTATAATATGAGCTTAAATGTTTTTACTATATTTACTTGTAAATTATTTATTTTTTATACCTATAATATCATATTTATAAAATTTCTTCTTATTCAAATCAGTAGATATGCACTGCATAGTATAAAGAAAAGTATATACTGCATATTAATATTAAAAAATTATGTATTAAAGAATAGTCAGATGTATTAAATTATATTAATGCATTAAATTTAAATGCTTTAGATGAAAAGTTAGAGATTAGATAGATAATAAAAAGAATAACAAACCAATTAATATATTATAGAATTAAATATTTAAATTTATTATAAAACTATAATCATTACTACTGTGTACATATTCAAAGTGTATATGCTTGATAGGTAGCTAAAGGTTTACATGATTAGAACAAACAAACAATTAGTATTAGCATTTTATAATTGGTCAATAGTATAATAGACATTAGCATTTTAATATAATAGATAATATTATATTAAATATTAATATTAATTATTATTATTTATATTTATTTATATATATATATATATATATTTACTTATAGGTATTATTTTAGAGTGACACATTGCTACGATAACCCCTTGATTGACTAATTAAAATTAATTATGTGTTTTATATGATTTTATTAAAAAAAAAAAGAAAATAAAAATATAAAAACAAAAAAATTAAATCGAACCCACCAACGTTGACTATATTAACTTCATTTAAAAATTTACCCACTCACCCACTTTTTAAAGAAACAACTACCAACAAAAAACTACAGTTGAAAGTTACTAATAACAGCTTCAAAATGATAGCTCCAATGAAATAAATCTAGAAGAAAAAAAACAGTTAAATGAAGAGAAAAAAAAAAAAAAAACACAAAATGAAAAAAAAACAAAATTTACCTTATATTGACAGAATTTAACCACAGTATAATTATTCTGTAGTGACAAAAATTATAGCATCAATAATACCAACTACAGCACCAACAATAACTTCAGCTATGATCTAGCAAAATCACAAAAAAGAGACAGACTATCAAAACCAACAAGAAACAGAGTGAAACCAGAAAAAAAAAGATGGTTAGTTAAATTAAATATATATAAAAAAAAATGCTTGTTGTAATCAACTAACCCAAAGTAATAAAACTAACAATAATAAAAAGACCAATGAAACCAACAAAAGAAATACCAATAAAACCAACAAGAAAAAGATCAACAAAATTAACAAAAGAAAGACCAATAAAACCAACAAGAGAAAGACTAATAAAACCAACAAGAGAGAGGCAAATTAGAGAAACCAACAAGAGATAAAGTGAAACCAGAAAGAAAAAAA